GGTGGACCTCTGGGGCACACAGACCAGGTACTTTAGCTTGCTTGATAAATTGCAGGCCTGTCAGAGACCTTGTTTCAAACAAAAGGGAGATCCCACATGAGGAATGACATGAAGTTGTTCTCTGGAATCCTTATGCATGCACACATATGTGCCATGCATCTGCATATATATGAACCTACATACATATAAATACACATACACACAAAAGAACAAACACAAAAAAATGTAATTCAAAAGATCATACAAAAATAAAGGTAATATAACATCATCAAAACCTACCACTTCTTTATTGTTTTAACACACTTAGCTGTTTGTAGTTTTTAAAGTATTTTCATCTACTGTACTAGAATGATGGTATATTCTTCTATTTCCCTTTCTAAGTCTATCAGTATGTAGCTTAAATTCAGCCATAGAAGTATTTATATGGAATTAATAAGCATGACAAATTAAATATTTATTGTTGTTTAGATTTATGAAAATGATCAATATTAATGATAAATTTAACTTCAAAATGTGACATTTTGGTCTATTATGAATAGCATTAAAAGATGAAGCATTATTCCGAAAAAAATTAATTTGATTAAAAATGTGATTCAAATTATTAGTGATTGAGTGAATTTTCATCACACATATTAATTACTTCATATTTTGCTCATTAATTGGAACAAAAGCTCACTAAAATTTATGATGAAGTTACAGTGATTAATTGTAAGCACAGTTGGCTAAATCAGGTCAAAAACATTCCCACAATATCAGTTGGGTATATATATTTACAGTAAATACTACTGTATATTTCATTATTATTTGTAAATTTTGTAGTATACTCTCTTAATGCTAGTAGTACATATATTTGTCCACATGCCACACACATTATGCATGCTTTTTCCAGGTGTGCAATTCTTAAACCACAAAAACTGCAACACTACTTTATACATTCACTCTTTTTCTTTTTGTTTTTCCAGACAGGGTTTCTCTATGTAGCTTTGGAGCCTGTCCTAGAATTCACTCTGTAGACCATGCTGGCCTTGAACTCACAGAGATCTGCTTACCTCTGCCTCCTGAGTGCTGGGATTAAAGGCATGTGCCACGATGCCCAGCATTCATTTATTTTCTTATAAATGTACAGGTGTGTGTGTGTGTGTGTGTGTAGGTCAGAGGCAGCGGTTTCTCTCTCTCTCTCTCTCTCTCTCTCTCTCTCTCTCTCTCTCTCTCTCTCTCTCTCTCTCTCTTAGACAGGGACTCTTAACTCAACTTGAAGCTCAAAGTTTTCACTACACTGGCTAGCTGGCAAGTGAGATCCTGAGCCATCTTCCCAGTCCTTCACTCATGTTTTATAACTCATCAATACAACAAAAATAAATGCAATATTCCTGTCAACTAAAAAAATACTTAATCTTTAACTTGTCACAAAATTTTTCAATTTGTTTTTAATAAAGTGTGGCAATAACTAAACCATGAAAGGAAAACAATCTACAAAATGATTTATACATAAGACCCAACAGTGTTTTTTTTTTTCCTTTTGTCTTAAGAGTTGAAGAGTTTGCCGGGCGGTGGTGGCACATGCCTTTAATCCCAGCACTTGGGAGGCAGAGGCAGGTGGATCTCTGTGAGTTCAAGGTCAGCTTGGTTTACAGAGTGAGTTCCAGGAAAGGCGCAAAGCTACATAGAGAAACCCTGTCTCGGAAAAAAAAAAAAAAAGAGTTGAAGGGTTAGAACACTATATTAAAAGTTAAAAGTAAACTTCCTCACAACTTCTATTCTTGGAGATACAAAGCATTACAGATATCTGTGGTTATATTTTGTTTGTGATCTAACAAATAAAGCTTGCTTGAATATCAGTGTGCAGAGCTAAGCCACTAGTTACCCATAGCAGCCAGGCTTTTGTGGCACACACCTTTAATCCCGGCACTTGGGAGGGGGAAGCAGGAAGATCAGTAGTCAAGGCCATCCTTGGCTACACAAGATTGATTCCAGCACTTGGCCTTTAATCTCAGCACTAGGGAGGTGGAGACAGGAAGTGACATGGCTAGGCAGAGAAAGGAATATAAGGAAGGAGGAGACAGGAACACAGAGCTCTTTCAGACTAAGGATTTCATAGAGGTAAGAACTAGTGGCTGGCTGCTCTGCTTCTTTGAGCTTTCATCTGGATATCTGACTCCTGGTTTTTATTATTACGATCAATTAGGATTCGTGCTACAGATATCCACAAAAATTCACCAACTAATCATCTGTTACATCCATACAGTTAAGTGTATAAGGTTTCACTATGTACCAAACATATATGTTTTTTAACTTCTGGTCCTTTGCCCAGGTTTTATTTCTTTTAACTTGGATGATCCTATCTCACAAACTCATTTTTGAAGGGTCTTATTCTCATATTATTCTACAAACTAGATTGGACTTAATAACATCTTCTCCAATAATGATTTGTAATTTTATTTACCTGTTTTTGACCTGATTTGCTCTCTTGAAAATATATAGATATAGATGATATGTAGGTGTGTGTGTGTGTGTGTGTGTGTGTGTGTGTGTGTGTGTGTGTTTTGTATACATATACTGATGAGAAAACATCAGGTCATATAGAATCCCCAAACAAGTTTTAAGCCTGAAATTATATAAATGTTTGCAGGAAAAATATATTAATACATGAATAGATTTATGTATTAGTGTTTCACAGTAATAAAGATAAAACAATTACAAACTGTTAATACTTTGCTTTTACTGTTGCCATTGTGAGTTTTTACTATGGCCTGCTTCCTTTTCTCTTCATTCATACCATCTGATGTTCTTAGCAAGCAACAGATAGAGGACTCAGTTGCATGAAGTGAAGTAAAAAGGATAATAATGCAGAAAAATAAATGGAGAGCTAGTATTAAGGAGAGGCACTAAATCCAGGAGGGGTCTTTAATGATAAATTAAGCAGTCTAAGATTCATCTGCTAGAATTCTGAGAAAGAAACTGTTATAAGGAGGTTAAAGCCAAGAAAAGATTATGCTACATCAGTACTTCTGGGGTTGAATGACCCTTTTACAGGGGTGGCATATCTAATACCCTGCATATCAGATATTTTAATTACAATTCATAACAGTAACAAAATAACAGTTATGAGGTAGCAACGAATATAATTTTATGGGTGGGGTCACCACAACATGAGGAATTGTATTAAAGGGTTGCAGTATTAGGGAGAGTTAGAACCATTGCTCTAGAGTAGTTATGTAGGGTAAATACCTTTATGTAACACTAACAACAATGACAGCAACAATAAGAAGGATAAGGAAGAAGAGGAAATGGAGGTAAAAAATTGTGAAAGGAAGAAAAAGAAGGTGGACAGAGAGAAATAGCAAATCAGCAAACATTTATTTAGTACCATGAAGAAACAATCCTAACATTAATGATTGCATATCAGGTATTACTGTATAAGACAGATTTTTTTAGCACTGTTATTTTCATGTGAGGATAAAGCTACATAAGATCTGAGACACATTTATGCAAAAAGTCACACAACCAGAAATTGTCATCTGGAATTTAAACACAAGCAGTCTGACTCCAGAACATACATTCTAAAACTCTATGCTAAATAATTTATAGTCATGATTTATTTGATGTTTCCATATACTAATCTAATTTCATGTGCCCAGTAGTATCCCTAAATTAAAATTAAATAATGGACAAAAATAGTAAGCTAATTCCAAATAAAATGAACATAAAATACATTTTGGCAAAATTTCACTTAATGGCCCTAATATGGCATTTATTTACATTTTTCCATTAGAAACTGCTGTACACATTTTAAAGTAAGCAATAATAGTAGGTTAAAAGTGACAAAGATTGGAAATGATGTGAATCTCCAAGAATATCTGACTTTGGGACAAAGTGGCTAAGTAGAGAAACTCTTCATAAGGTAGGCTACATTAAAGAAACTGACCTTATTCACTCTGAATTGTGAAACATCACATTTTCTAATTAAACACTAACATATCTAAATTTAATTACAACATGAATGACACTGAAAGGTTTTTTAAAATCCTTAAAATGTGAATTCCTACAGACAAATATTCTATACTAAGTTGATTGTTTTAAAATCTATGTAAAAATAATCTCTGAGACTCCTTTTATACTTGCTTTGTTTATTTATATTTAACAATTCTGTTCTGTTAAGAACAGTGAGAGAAAATGGATTAACAGTAACCTTTTGATGAAATAATCCATGTTTAACAGTCCCTCTGTATTTTCACTTGCTATATATGTATGTGTTTATATATGTATACTAAATATATATGTACATATATATATTTAATACAAGGTCACATTAATGATAAAAATTTACCAAGTAAACATATACAGTGCACACAAAAACAAAAAGTAAAACCAAAATTTCCATCGTTTAAAGTTTTTATGTATTGTATCAAAAAGGCAAAATATTGTGTTTTATCCAGGAATAATTTAAATCTTGCATGCTATAATACCATTACATATTCTCTTCTCTCAATCTCTCCCTCCCTCTCTCTCTCTCTCTCTCTCTCTCTCTCTCCCTCCCTCCCTCCCTCCCTACACACACACACACACACACACACACACACACACACTCCAAAGAGAGAGAGAGAATGCTTAATAATTATAGATAGGAAAGAAGAGAGATAGCAATATACCAAACTGCCATGACATCCAAAATCCCAGAAGCAAAACACATGAGGTGCTAGAGCTTTTTACAGAAACAGTATTAACTAGTATTCATGCACCATGAACCAATTAGCCAGCCAGATGTTTCCCATCTGGATATCTGACATACTGAAAAGATCCTATTTGACTCACATTTTTTCCACATTAAAAAACAGCTGTTAATAGCAAAGACCCTGAAATATCTTATTAACTATATTTTTACCATGTAGCTGCAAAGCAGATTGTATTTATATCATTATAATTAAATCCTTAATATTGTAAAAAATATTTTCTTCACGTCAATAGATTTGCTTTTATTGTTGTTACCATTGCTTTCTTACCTGGTCTTCTCTTGACATAGCTTTCTCTTCAACTTTACCCTAAAGGTGTGAGGAGGGGGAAACAAGACAACTTATCAGAAAAACACACCCAAAAAACGAATAGAATTTTAAAAAGAGGTTACAATAAAGAGAAGATGAAATATGGCAGTCTAAGCATTTAAGTAATATTTCTATAATACAAATATATTAATATTATCAGTCTATGCAATCATCTACAACTCTGAGACTAAATTCATATTCCATCAATATTTTAAAATATTAAAATGTTTACAGTCTGAGAAAAATGTAAAATATACTTTACTGACAGAATTTCCAGCCCCAGCTTTTGACATCTCTTCTGTTTAAGATTACCTTACCGCTCCTGCTCCTGAAATGCTATGTATGTGTGTTTAGTTTCCACCCCCATACCCAGATAAAATTCACCTGAGTCTTGAGACGTGAACCCTTGGTAACCTTATCTCTCAGAAAAGAAAACCATTATGATTGTGTTCCTGATACAAATATAAAAAAAACTATTTAGAAGTAACAGAAAGCTTTGTGAGACTGATCATGTCATCTTATAGTTAGCAAGCAATAGTGAAAGAAGGGAATGGTAGGCATAGTCAGGCACATGTCTTGCTATTAATAGAATGACATTTCTAGCAGCTGTCCAAATAGTTCAAGTCCCCCATCACAACTGTAACTTACCTCAGAGTCTATAAAATTAACCAGCCATCAATTCTGGAATTTAAATAGCTATGAATATTTGAAAAAGTTTCTACTTTATATGCGATATGAGTGATAAATTACCTAGTAACATAATAATATATTTTCTTTGTTCTCAATACAGTCTTATACTTGGAACCAGATATTTATTCAAATACTTGATTAGGCATTAGTTTTTGCTATCACATATCTTTAGTCTTTACATTAGACTTTTATTTCTATTTATAGGTTTAGAAATATTAGATGTAGAAGAAAGGCCAAAATAAAGGTTAATTTAGATTGCAAGGTTGTATAATGATTTCAGAATTTTTCTTGCAGAATGTTAAAGAATAGAAGGATAAGAAAATCAAAATTAATCATTAGGGTAAAATGGCACTTAAGACATAATAATTACATATGGCAATAAATATGATCAAGGTATGTAATGTGCATATGTGAAAATGTTATATTGAAATTCATCATTTTGCATAACTATTATATACTAATTTTAAGAGGGAAAGAATGAACTGAATGAAACTAAGTTGCTTTAGAAGGTTTAAGTATTGAAAAGCAAAGATTTTAAATCTATTTCAATATAATAACATAAAGAATGAAAAGGGGATTAAAAAGCAAAATGAGTAATGTTTTATAACATGAAATTAGTCATGACCATGGTATCAATGAAGGCATAATAATACTATGTATGCTTTACATTCATAAGTAATTTTAACAAATTCATTTTCATATGTAGCTTCTTATTCCCACTACACTTAAAGAAGTGTTTTGTTCATTATACATTTGTTTCCCCAAAAAATTTCCATTCATTAACATATTGCTATGAGATACTCAGTAAATAAATAACATTGGAATTATTTTTTCTATTAAATTTCTTTGAAGCTGTTGAAATCTAACTCCATTGTACTGGGAAAGCAAAAAGATCAAATGACATTTCAATGAAATCTAAGCATATGCTAGGAAAGGTTTACAAGGCTGATATGGAAAATACCTTTAACTGTGTTCTTAGATAACTTTCAAAGCTAAGTTCAATGGTGGTAAATTAACTTGAATGAAGTTGAATCTTGAGACCACGTTAGTACTAATCTTCCTTCCACTTGCTGGGCAGTAAACCATCTGCTTTGTCATCATCTAAATCACATTCCATTCTTCTAACATAGTTAAAATTTATAACCATTTGTCGTTGCAACTTGGGACTTAGGCAATGGAATATGTTCTAAAGAACACTGCAGTAATCTCCACATTTCACAGTGTTGAGTGGGAGAAGAATAGACTCAATATCTTAAAATACTGCTTCTCTGATTTAACTGGAAACATTTAGTGTGCTTTATTAAATAGATTTACCATGAAAGTAAAGGAAGAAAGTTTTTCATCCTTTTATGTCCTAACTCCAGATGAGAAATACAAGAAAATAAATTTTAAAATGTCTAATGTTTTACTGAAAACTTCCAAATTTAAGAAACAGCATAAAAATTGGCTAATAGCAACACAGTAAAAGCAATAAATTATTTTATTTTTATATTTTCAAGAAATTCTCAACAACATAAAAACCGACACAAAAATAATAGCCCATACCTTATGACATTTTCTGTACTGAAAAACTGGATAGAACTATTAGTAAGTGATGTATTCTGCCTCATATCTGAGCATTAACTACATTTGGTAAGATATTTAAAAATAAATACAGAAACACATTAATTGCTGTGGGATGTCGTTCTGTATGCTATGAATATGTGTTTCCCTGATTGGTTGATAAATAAAGCTTCATTTTGGCCTATTGCAAGGCAGCTTACAAACAGGCAGGCAATCTAAGCAGATACACTGAGAGAAGAAAGGAGATTTGGTAGAGCCACCAGCCTGCCACCCAAGGAAGAGCATGCCAGCAGACCAGTAAGCCACAGAACATGTAGCAAAACACAGATTAATAGAAAAGGGTTAATTTAAGATTTAAGAGCTAGCTAGTGAGAAGCCAGAGCCATAGACCACACAGTTTGTAAGTAATATAAGTCTCCATGTGTTTACTTGTCTGAACGGCTGTAGGATGGGCTGGACACAGGAAAACTTTTGACTACATTTGGCTGTCCAATGTGTTGGCTTGAATTTCCACCTAAAACCTGACAAAACTTGAAAAAGATTCTAAAACAGAGCTAAAACCAGCTTCCTAGTTATGTCTTTCATGCAAGCCATGAGCTATATACAGTATGGTGGGTTTGTGGCATGTGGGCTTGACCTGCAGCATGGTGGATTCCTGCTGTGGTACACAGAGGTGATTGCAAGCCATGCAGTATGCTGCATAGTGGATTTAGCTTTTGCTAGTATAGACAAAAAATGTTTCTGGGCTACATGATGCTGGATGAAGGCATGGACCTACTGCCTCCCAGAGTCAGCAGAGAGCATGGCTCCCAGAGATGGTGGTGTATTACCTCTGCCATATTGGGAAACTGAGGTGGGCAGTCAGAAGCCAAAGCTGCCACTTCTGTACTAGCCACTACAGTTTAAAGCAATGGATTTACAATGAGGCAGTTTCAGAGGGAATAAACCCTAAACAGTTCACAATGTGTGTAAAAATGTATGTAGGCTTGAAAGAGAGAGGAAAATAAATATAGACAGTTTCATAAAAAAATTAAAAAAATAGTCTTTAAAGAGACAGTAAAAGTAATATAAAAAATAGGCCCTATAAAGATGGATATTACACAGAGAATCTGGATTATACTGTCTTTAGTATTTTTAATTGGAGAGAGACATTTGATTATAAAGGCTGCTAAATTAAACCAATATATGTATTGTAAAGTTATCTTGACTTCAAAATTTGGATCTAAGGATATGTTGCTTTGGAAAGGAAGCTCTGCTTTTGTTCCCACAAGAAGCAAGTGGCTATGGATTTGTTCCAGTTTAAGATGGATCAGATTTCATCTAGCCAGACCTCCTATCAACAAAGGTTATAGCCTGTCTTCCCAGGACTTGATCATTATCTCGAATTTTCTCAGGATCCCCATAAGACTACCAGCACCCACAATTAGCAGGAAGTAGCCTAGAAAACTATGCCCACATTCCCAAAAACTGGATTATGGATATTTGTCTTCGTTTAGAGATTGGTTACAAATTGTTATTGGTCATAGGCAATATCTTTCTAAAGAAAAAAAGAGGGAATAGGATACAGATATGATAGGATGAAAGGGTAGATTATTGAATCTACTTTTAAAGAGCAACAACTTGTGTAAAATGTTTTAACTTGGTATAGAGCTTAGTTTAATACAAATTTAAAGTTTATTTTGTTATACTGTATTTAAACTTATACACTTCTTTAAGGTATTATGTTTGTATAGCTCATTTAATATTGTGTATAATTAAGAAATACAGATTAATAATTAGTCTCCATGATGATCAAACTTACAGTCATGTTAGTTAAATTTTCTAGGTATACATAGATATATTTCAGTTAGGTAGGTAATCTTCAAATACTTCAAAGACATACAGAACATGGCATTTAAAATATTTTAAAAACTTTGACTTTCTGGACATTGAGACACATCTGCTCCTGGCAGCACTGATTTACTTCAAAGAGGAAGATGGGTGTTGAATTCACTCCATATGGAGTTTATCTTCTTGGCAAAAATAGCCATTTAGTCAAGAGACTGTTCTTGCCTGGACTGCTTGACAAAATGTTGTATCAACTGGATATATAGGACCCATAGGAAGATGATCATCAAAATTTGCACAATGAGATGGTCTTTTAGATTCCTGCTTTGCAGAGAAGACTGACAGATATTCTACAGGATACATGGAAAAACAACTAAAAATATCTAGGCCTATAGGCCAAAGATGGATGCCCCAATATTACAGAGGAACTTTGGGTGATTTGTCCAGGAAGCCAGCTGTCTCTATCATTCGAGATTTTTGAAAGTTGCTTGTAATGCACTTCCTATTTACTTAGGTAATATTATATCCTTCTGAGGTCATTGATGTAGTTGAAATCTAAATAGTTATAATTTTTCTTAATTATGATAAAAGATAAATTAGATATAAAACATTAGACTCACAAATATAGGATAGATGCTAGAATATTCTTTAATTTTTGCCAAATAAAAATAGACTAGATATTATAACTGTAATTCTTGCTTGATAACTGTTTTATTATAAGTAGTTTTACTATATTAAAGTTAAAACCTTCCTTTTTTATTAGATAGAAAAGGGCAAGTGCTGTGGGATGCATTTCTGTATGCCGTGAATATGTGTTGCTCTGATTGGTTGATAAATAAAATGCTGATTGGCCTATGGCAAGGCAGCTTGCAAACAGGCAGGCAAACTAAGCAGATAGACTGAGAGGAGAGGCGGGAGAG